TATTTCCTGTATTATAGGGATTTGATATTATTAGTTTCCTTCCTAAAATAGGATTTGTATCTTGTATATATATCTAAGAGATTCATGAATATAGTGTGAGAAATTAATTTCTTCCCGTTTTACAACATCAAAGCAATAAATGGTAAAAACGCCTATTGCCAAGCACAATATTGCAACAAAGTGTGCACATTTCTTATTTTCTGCAATATTTGTACCCTGCAAATAGGTCATTAATCTTCCTAAATTCAAGTCAAAGACAAGAACAAGTACCTCAGTTAACTACCAGCAACAAGGAATATTTGGCGAAAAAGCTTATCTTTTTTTTTCTTTTTTTTCTTTTTTCCCACGAGCAGCATTTAAATGCATTGCCATTTGATAAATATCATTGCTAATTGCTAAAGGAACACTAAAATCTCAAAAAAATTCAGCAAAATGAGAAAGTAAAATCCATTTATTTTTATAATTCTAAGCAAATATTGAACCATTTCGTTGGATATGGATCCAAGCTAAAGTCTCACCATCACTCATTTTTTTAAAATTGTGCACATCTGAGACCTTTGATCAAAAAATAAATCCGGTTTGCATTGCATAGGAGTGCGTCGAAGATATAATTTAGATGAATAATCGTGGCTTCTCCCTAGCAGTTTAGGCAGTTCAATTTCAATGCTGTACATCTTGTTCCAAAGCTTGAACCTTTACTAATATGGAACCTCAACTAATACTAATGTAAAGTACCTTGAGATGGGCATAAAGAGTGGGGAAAGCAATACAAGCCACGGAAGGGGAATCGACGTATTTGCGGAGAATAATTACTTCTCGAGCAATTGTCTCGGTCGTGTCGAAGTCATGCCAGAACTGGGTGAGGCGCCAATCCTCCGCCACCAACGCCACCTCCTCCTCCTCCTCCTCCAGCGGAGCCTCCGCCACCGTCCAATTCTGTCAGCCAGGAACTCCTTTGGTGCTTCCAGTGCTCGAGGAGCTGAGCATCAGAATATCATAGTTGTCATCATCAATTACGGTATCCTTTTGGGGAGTCTCCTCTCTCGACAACTCCATTTTCTACCACCTTAGGACGGCGATTTACAGAGGTTCATCGTTGGCTTTTTCCCAACTTTTCTACAGCCGAGAGTCCATTGAAGATATTAAGAGCATGTTTGGCTATCCTTAAAAAGTTGATTAAAAGTAATTTTGTTTTATTTGACTTGGCCAAACATACTCTATTGTCTAGATGGGTCAAAATAAATGAGAACCTTTTGGCAAATTTTTGAAAAGACAAAAATCAATTTACTTTTGATATATTTGAATAATTTTTAGGAAGTATTTTGTTTTGCTAGGAGAGCTCTTAAAGTCCTACAACAACATCTGCTTCTTCTAGAAGAACTTTCTAATAAACTATCTTAATGAATATTTAAATCTAATTTCTAAAAGAGTTCTCTCTTTTACGAGAGCTTTTAAAATAAGTCACATTGCGTCACTTTTTTTTAGAAGCTCTCCTAATTAAAATCCTTTTTCTAAAATTAATCAAAATGATTCAAAAGCAATTTTTTAATATCAAAAGTTCATTTTGACTTTTCAAAAATCATGTCAAACAAGTTCTTAAATAACATTTTTAAAAAACTCTTCTACAAGAAGTAAAATCTACCAAACAAGTCTTGAATCTGTTCAAATCGACTCTCCAACTTGCATCCAAATATGTCAAGAGAGGCCGAGAGACAAAAAATAATATTATTCATAATCAATGACTGCAATACAACTCGTTATTTGAGGCATTAACATGTTATTTAAGGCAATGAAATAGAAACGAATGCAATAGCATTACTCCTGGAATAGTGCCATTTTTTCCCTTTTATTTTTAAAATTATTAATTTTACATCGAAATTGTCTCAGTTAAGAAAAATTTATGTCCATGTTTGGCCCCATTCCTTAAAATTCATTTTTAACAACACATTTCATAAAACTCACAACTCAATCAATTTTTCAATCACAAATTTCTATCAAAATCTACTTAGACCTAATTTTTATTCGAACTGGACATGGTTTCCAACAAATTTCTTCATCAGTACATAACTGCCTTACCTGTAAAATTCAGAATGATTCTGAAACATGTAGATTACTCTAACAATATACCAATCATGCTAAAAAGCTTTAACAAATAGACATCCTATGCTACAAACTCGAAATTATGTTACAACTGCAAAATCCTATTACATTCAATAACAATAAGTCTACACATTAAAATCGTACTAAGACTCAAGTAACATCATTAGTGGCACTTTCACTGATAGACGAATCACTTGAACTGTTCGAGTCCCCGGAGATTGTATTTTGACAAGTCTTTCTATTATGCCCGTACTCCTTGCATCTCGAGCATCTGCCCTTAGTAGTTTGCTTGGGATTCCTTCGTTTCCTTGGTCTACCAGACCTTCGTCTCCATTTTGGGGGTAAAATTATTCTATCTTTGATCTCGTCTGGAACAACCCAACTGGATTCACTCCCTAAGGGATGAACGGTTGCTGCATATGATGCAGACAATGCCTCCTTTTTATAATAACCAGAGCAATAGTCGTGTGCACTCAATTTGCACATATTTATCGCAGCCAAAGCATGAGAACATGGTAATTGATCGACTTGAAACTCCCTACAGACACAAGTCTTTGACTCCAAATTTACAACAAATGACCGCGCTTCTGGGTCTAAAACATGAAACTCATGGGTGTTCGCAGGGTGAACCTGTCAAATAGAATTTGAATGCATCATTAGTGTATAATTATAGATCATGTTTGGCTAAGCTTAAGAAGTTAACTTACAAGAAAATAAGTTAGGTTTACAATAAATAACTTATTTTAAGCTTAGCCAAATATGCTACTTGCGACCACTATTACCTACAACAAGAGTTATAATGATAATATTTCTTACGGTCATTGATAATGACAATGCATTCTGTTCCCTTAGTCGATCTTCTGCTGCAGTTGCAAGCATTGTTGTTGTAGATTCAGCTGCACTGCGACGTTCAGAAAACCATCTTCGCACCATTGACATCAACCACTCGATCAAACTGGTGATTGGCATATCCTTTGCCTGAACATCAGTTGCATTTATTGATCTGGCTATATCAGATCAAACTGGTGATTGGCATATCCTTTGCCTGAACATCAGTTGCATTTATTGATCTGGCTAGATCAGTTGTCATTATTGAATACCGACGGCCACTAAAAAAAGCTCGCGACCATTTTTCATATCCCGCTTCTCCTTGAAGGTATGCACGGATACTTGGGTTCACTATATCGAGGTTGTTCATATAGAATTCAAATTCCTCCATGAGGTATGTTCGAGAAGCATTGTAAAAATATGTAGGCATTTCTTTCCCTGCCTTTCTAAAATTTACCTTCAGATTGTTTAACAAATGATGTGTGCATATACCATGATCAGCATTTGGATATGCTTTCTCAATGGCTTTACAAATGTTTTTGTCGAAGTTTGAAATTATAACCAACTCTTCACGATCAGCAATTGCTTCCTTCAACTTGGCAAAGAACCACTCCCATGCAGCAGCATCCTCTGGATCTCCAATCCCAAAAGCTAAGGGAAAAATTTGCTCATTACCATCCTTAGCACAAGCAGTGAACAATGTCCCACCGTATTTAAGCTTCAAGAAAGTGCCATCTACAAGAATTACAGGTCGACAATGTTGCCAACCTTGAATGGAGGCAGCCAAGCACATAAAGAAGTACCTGTAACGATTATCATAAAAGTACACTAATCATTTTTAAAATTGACCAAATATCATTACCAATATGAACAAATGTAATATTTTTAAACACACCTGAATTTATTGTTTTCTTCCGTCTCGAAGGAAACAACTGATCCAGGATTCATTTGGTTTAACATGTATGTGTACTTTGCCAATGAGTTGTAAGCTTCCTCGTATGAACCCCGCAAACTCTCTAATGCACATTCTCTAGCTCGCCAAGCCCTTTCATAAGTTATTGTCACTCCATAAGTTTGACGCATTTCATTAATGATATCATGAGGTTTAATGCTAGAACACGAACGTAATTGGTATTTCCTCTTCACGCATTCCCCTACGACGCAGCTACTAGCTTGACGATGATCGCCTTGAACAGTTTCCGGTGAGCAAGTGTGGCTTGCATCATACCTTTTAACCTCAAATCTATCATTTCGTTCAAGCTTGGTTGCACGTACTGTCCACTTACAGTTGGGATCAACACAAACCACATGCAATACTCTCCTTGTGGATCTTTTTACCTTAAACTGAAAATGATTCCTAATGGCAAGCATGCCAAGTTGTTTCTTTAATACTTCTTTGCTCGAGTAAATATTTTTTACTCGCAATACAGTAGGCAAGACTTCGGTGATCATATCTCTAACATTTTCAGATTCATCAGTCATTCTATGGTCTTCATCGGAATCCAAGGTTTCAATTTGACCTTCAGCGGATCTTTCTTCAAGAGATACTAGAGCATTTGAAAGACCATTTATGACAGATAGCTCAACATTACTATCTGTGATCTGTCTCCTGTAGTTTGCTTCATTTGGCAGATCGGCAGTAGCAATAAGCTCAGCTAGATGTTCTAAGGCGTTATCACCTTCAGCCTTAATATCAGAAGGAACATCATCAACTGTAATCTCAAGTGACATATTGCAAGGCACTTGATCATTTAATTGTGGATCAGGGTTTATCTCATGAGGTGGACTTTGAATTTTTGCATCTGATGAGTGATTATTGTCCTCTAAAGCTAGTGGTAAAATCTCCTCCATCGGCTCATTCTTAATCTCAAGACAAATTGGAAAGCTATTGAGTTGAGCATCTCTCTCTTTCAAATTCAAGTAAAAGAAAACATCACGATCTTGTGATATTTCGATGGGTGAGCTTCCAACTTCAGCTATATACTTCATTCGTATTGTTTGTGACAAAGGTCCCAAACCCAATGCATCATACAATATCTCCAATAATCCAACATATGATGTTCCAAGAGGAACCAATACCCCCGTCATCTCGTGGTCAACATATATATTATTTTCATCCCACCGTCCATTATATTTCACAAAAACAGGAACCCCATCCATACCTGTAGTTCAAATAAAATGAAAATTTTATCAAAAAAAATCCAGATCATTATAGTTATGACTATTACAAACCCGAGACCTCATACTTTTGCCAATTCAATTAACAATAGTTTTACACCCACAAGTCATATTAACATATCATCAAAATTTTAGCACTCAAATAATACATCCTAACAGGTAAATGCAAGAACAAGCAAGAGTCACTATTTACTAATACACCTGTTTTCGTACAGAACAAGAATTAGTAAATATATTTACAGGGAACCAACAGTTATGACTAACCAAATTTTACACCCGTCTCCCACTCAGTGAGATAAAAATCATTTTAATGAATCGCCAATTGCAGATCAACACAGTTTTAGTTCTCATAAACAGAACCCAAGCAGTAAATCCAGAAAACGAGCATATGCAAATCATAATTTTGTTGGATGATTATCAAGAGGATTACTTTCAATAATTAAAAAGTTTCCATTTGAAACAAAAGTGAGCAAGGAAACTCCAAAAATTTGTCAAATACCTCTAAGAAGCTACCTCGACAAGGGGATATTTTGACCAACACCCAATAATGTCAATGACCAAATTTGAGATAAATGAGGCCCATCTGGTTTCAAGTGCTGATGTGACACACTCGAGAAAATTGTGCACGTTCCAGGCAGAAAAATTGAATCCAACCTGCAGATGAGGGGTGTCAAAAGACTAAATTTAAATAATTAATGTGCCCCTTCTCTAACAGCTTAAGATATTGTTAACAAATAAATGCTCCAAACACCTAAATACCACATACTAATAGCTTCAGTAAAAATCCAATATTTTGTAGTGCTGCAATAATTTCCCATCAGATAAAACCGGTAACAGAGCCACCTGGGGTCTAGTGGGGGACAACTGCCCTTACTGGATTTTGCCATTTTGGTCCTGGGTATTTCACCTGTTACACTTGAAGTTGAGGGGCGGCCAGTTTTTAAGGCAAGGAGAAAATCATAAACAACCGCATCAAAAATTCAGTAGAATGTTATCGAAAAAATCACTGTTGCTAGAGGAAGATTACCATCAAGAAAGAACAATTTTGAAAAAATAAATAAATTATAAAGAGTTGAGTTGAAATTAAATCATTCAAAACAATCAGATCGAGTGCGATTTCAAAGTATAAAGCCCATTTTTTCACTATTAAGGCAAGGACAACACCATAAACAACCGCATCAAAAATTCAAGACAAAGGTTGTCGAAAAAAGCACAGTTGCTAGAGGAAGATTACCATCAAGAAACAACAATTTTGAAAAAATAAATAAATTATAAAGAGTTGAGTTGAAATTAAATCATTCAAAACAATCAGATCGAGTGCGATTTCAAAGTATAAAGCCCATTTTTTCACTAATAACAATCCGATGCTACCTTCCAACTTTGTTGATGAAGAAGTTGAGCAGAAATCACTGCTACACAAGTTAAATTGGGGCCAAGCGGGTTATGGATATGTCCCCTTTTGCCTCTCCCCCAATTTTCAGCGTAATTCCGATGAAGAAAACCTTAGCCGCTTTTTCCCGTTGCTCTATGATTAAGACTCGAACAGGCATAGGTTATGGTTGGATATGCAAACTAAAAGTGTGACCACCTAATTTTATTTTATTTCACCGTTGTCATCCAACTTTATACTTATTATTACCATGATCACCTAATTTAATTTTATTTCACTATGATCACCAAATTTCATATAATATTTTATCAGAGTCACGCAACTACTTTTTAACTCATTTCACTAATTTTAAAAGGAGTAAAATGAAAAATTCGCATTATATATATATGAAATACAAAATTTTAAAAAATAAAATATATTAAAAATCTAATTTTAATCCCCACCAAACAGAGGCTTAATAAGTAATTAATAAAAAATTCTTCTGTTTCCAAAATTATATTTAAATTTAGACTATATGTTTTTTTTATAGCAATAAAAAATTAAGTGATTAATAATTTTTTTAATCAGGTGTTTAGGGATTTAAATAATTCAAAAATTTTAGAATTCTTTATATTTTAGTTTTTTTTTTTTTTTTTCATTCTTGATACTATTCCCAAATAATCATTGGCCCCGTTTGTTTTGGATTAAAATCAGATTTTAATCCAAGTCAAAGTCAAACAATCAATATTAACCACACCATTTATGGGTCTCACTGTTGGGAAATTTCACGCCAATTCCCATTTTCTACTTAACCCCCAGAATCTTTTGTTGTTCAGGATAATATTAGCAAACAAGAAAAATAAAGAATATAATGCACAAATTTAAACGGACCGTCAAATCTTTTCCACTATATGAAAANAAAACTCTGCAACATAGAAGGGATATCACTCGTATGAACCATAATTTTTGCACCATTTAGTCTATATAAACCATCGGGACATGAAGTTGTCACAATTTCACGAGATATAAATAATCAGAATCACAATTATTTGTCGCAACTTACATGAACTCATGCCATATGAAACTATTGCGATTATTTGATATGGAGTTAATCAAATTCACACTTTGTTTTTTGTTAAATAATATATCCAAGATCACAAATGTGACATGCGATCACATGATAGGAGTCATGTGTCCACAACAAAGGTTACAATATATCTTCAATGTTTCTTCTAACTACTGCAACTTCTACCTATAATTTGCGTAGATTTAATTGCTGATATCGTCAACCATTTTTTTTAAAGAGAAAATAAATTTGCTATTTGTAACAATAGATTTAAAATAAATAACGTATTTTCATATAGCGGATTAATTCTCGTGTGAATTTGATTAAAAAAAAAAAAAAAACTAGACAAAAAAATATGATCTATAAAATAGAATCAATTTTCATCGCCAAACTGATTGAATAACCAAAGATCATATCCCAAACCAGCAATATATAAAAGTAGACAGAATGCTCATATCATAAGCAGCTGCTTATGCATACTGCTGATTCTAAAATTCCATGGAATTGACACTCAAAAATCAATTAATTTGAATATAAATTTGCTTTTAAAATTACTTATTTTATCTCATTTGGATGAGATTTCAGAGGCAAATTGTCCAGCATTTACTTCTTGCTTTCAGGCGATTCTTGGGAGCAGGTGAAACCCTAATCATCCAGTTCAATGAAATTTACTAAAAATCTAATTTTATCTAATTCAAATGAAGGCTTACTTTCAAGATATGAAAACGACATCATGTCACCAGAATAACATAAAACGATATTGCTGCGGTTCCCCTTAACGATTGACGGGCCAAGCGTTTTTTACTTATAAGTAGATTACAAGTTTCATATAAATAATTTTTTATGACGTTGAAATTTTAAAATATATAAATTACTTGCTGATAATAAGGTTGGAGGTAAAAACTAGAGATGGCAATGAGTATACTTTTCAAAATAGAACATTGCACTTACAAATAGAAAGTAGAATAAAAATTTAACTGGTCACAACTCACACTCACTCACTCACAAATTTAAACAAATTGACCACAAGAATGAAAATGCAGTGTAAGTGGGAAAACAAATCCATTTAGCATCCTTTTTGTGTTCATATAATACATGGTGTGGTGAATAGCTAAGCACCATTATTGTTCTGCCATGGCTTGAGTACACCCACAACGATTATTGCGACGATAATAAGGAGAATGAGGATAGCAATGCACATCCATTTCCTCGAGTTTTTCTGTAAACTTTTTGCTTTCTGAAGCGCGGTGTTACCGGATTGCACATGGTCGACCGCAGATGAAACCTGAGAAAATCAGTTGGTGGAGATCAGTCTGATTATATACACAAAGTGCGTGTTTGTTTCGTGGTATTGGACGGGATTGGATAGGAAAGGAAATTAAATTCTTCTTATTGTAGAATTCAGTAATTGATATCAAATATTGGCCAAAGAGATCATAAATAGTTGTTTTACATGGCTTGCTCATAGTTCTCACAAGGTAACCTGAAGACAGCAGGGAGAGTAGGAGTTTTCCTTACCTGTGATTCAATATTGTCGAGCATGTCTCCTTGAGCATCCACCAATACTGCCATGTCCATGAATATCTGTGTCGGGTAATACATTAAAGAATTACGCAAGTTTTTGTAATCATTTTCTATGGATTTCAATTTGTTGTTTCGAAATAAAGTTTCATCATAAAACGAAAAAAAAAAAGGGAAAAGAAAACAGAAACAGATGCAAGGCTAACAGTCATTTTTAGACTTGTTTAATACAGGCAGAATAAGTGCATATTTAGTTGGTGATTATTTTTATAATCACTTCTGGTCAAACATACTTTTTATCCAAATATTTTTCTAAGACCCATAACTACTACCCACTTTTTATCTATATATTTCGTAGGATCCACTCCTTACAATCACTTAAATTATAATTAATCACTAACCCAACATGCAATAAATTCTTTCCTGCAACTGCAAACAATCTTTCGAAATCCTAAAAAGCAAACACCAATGAAGGACAAATATGGAATTGGAAGGGACCCGATGGTATTTGGTGCATGAAATCTTCCATCCAACTAAGACACCACCTGGGTTCAACTGAAAAATTGAACCTTACACATGTTTGGCACACACACACATATATGTACACAATGAAAAGTGGAAAGTGACGAACTGACATTCACCAGCTTCTTATGTCAATTAGACATGAATTTGAGGGAAATCTATCAAATTCAAGATTTACAGATTTTTAAGTTTTACGCTCTAATCAAGTAATAGCCACTAGCTTTTAATATATAATTTTATAAAGCTAACTAATTAGCACGTCAATGCTGCTTAGCAGCAGTTGCCGGTTCGTGAAAAGGTTTCAAAACACAGTTGGTAATGATGGTATAAGAAAGGGAAAACAAGCAATTTCCTTTGCTCATAGCTAACAGACTCAAACAGTCAAAAGTAAACACAACTTAATAGCGATAGTATGAATATGCTATAAGCTCAAACGTGAGGAGGGCAAGAATAGATTAAAATCAAACAAGTGCACAAAGAAAACATATTAAATAAATAGATAACAGGATCTAACTAATTTGATCTTAACAAGATGAAGTGGGGAGTTCAAGAAGACAAAACATCGAGTTCAATAGCTGGTAGCAATGCGGTTCAGTGGTATTTTATTCTTATTCTCATTGCCAACAAATAAACCATAATACCTGTTGCAAGTCTAGAAGCTTCTTCTCTAAATCTCTAACGGCACCATGACGCTCTTGAATTTCTGCAAGTGTGTCCATTATCTGCATGAAAAAAATAATAAATAAAGCAAAGGGGAAAAGGGGATAGAGGAAAATATAAAGAAGTTAGAAAATAGAGCTAACCTGGCCTCGCCCTTGTTCTTGAATTGCTTTATGGAAAATCTGTTCACTATCCCCTGTCTCTATTAATCTATCAATTGTCTGCAAGTAGAATTGAATACTTAGTAAATTTGCACATTAAGATTTATTCAAATTATAAACAGAACTGAATTTACCTCTTCATCAGCTCGATTTCCCGTCACTAATGATCACATGAAACAAGAAACCATCGCAATTTGTCAAGACTATTAAGAAAGATATTGCAAAAAGTTGCAACCTTTTTATAAGAAGCAAAGTGTTAAAACCTGTGAATACACGCCTCTCAACTACTTCGCGATACTCTTGATGGATGCTTTCTCGTAAAGTCTACAAAATTTTTCGTTAATAGAAGTGAGAAACAGGAGAGAAGATGGTAGGAAATGAAACCTTTTTGAGACATCATACATCTGACCTACCTGAAATTCAGACATCTTGTCTTTGAACTTCTTCTTCATGGCACTGCAGTCAAAACAATCATTTAGAAAACAAAATTTATGTAATGCAGCATTACACATACAAATAGGTATTAAATTAGAATAACTTTTCTGAAAGCTTGAACTAAAATGCTCAAGGCATTGAGGATAATTCTGACAGTGTATGACTTGACTAGCTTTTCATGCCAGATAATCATATGGATCCTGAAATTTGTTCAAATAAATTCGGTTCATTGACAGGATTATCTGACTAATGCATAAACCCAACGGGTTTTAGTAGTTCATTTATAAACAGTTAACAACAAACATTTCTGATATTGATCTTAGATCACAAAATGGTGACAACGCCAAAATGATGAGGATGGATGTTACCACTTATTAAGCTCCTGTTTGAGGGATTAAAATCAAGATTTTAATCAAATTCAAAGTCAACAATTAATTTTAACCATATTTTATGGGACCCACGACTTTTCGACCACACATTTCATTCACTTTTATCAAATCTACTAAAAATATGATTATAATCCCCACCAAACGGGGGCTATATAACTAATCCATGAGTCTTTCTTCAATTGACATTATTATCGAATTTTACCTTCTCTAGTGAAAGTTTGCATAAGAATCACACAACTAAGTGCAAGGAGAAAGGTGAATCAGCCAGTAAAATGTGCTATTCAAGAGGACATGAACTAAAAAGTTAAAATTAAAACATAACCCCCCCCCCCCCACCCAACCAAGGGTGGGGGTGGGTGGAGTTGTTGGAGTCTATACATGTATGAAATCCATATATAGTACTGATATAATCGCTGTCTACTCTGGGCATTTAATCTTGATGTCAACAAAGTATAAGAGAAACAGCCAAACTATATTGATGGGCTCAATTCTAAAGCTTTATAGCAATCCCCACATGTCTATATAAAAACTTAAATTTTAAATGGTATCAATGGCTGTTATCCGGTCATTTTGAAATGGGAGGAATGCTCAAGTTTCAATGACCATTTTGCTGATACTGTTTGTTTGTGGGAAGGGCTGTCCCATTTATGTCATCGTGGGCTACAACTCAAGTAGGTGCAATATGGATGTGGAGAATAGTTCATTAGTCTTTAATTTGTTTTATGACTTTATGTATATGAGGACAAAGGACTCTAATTTTGTAATTATTTCTTTCTATTGATAAAATATTTGGCTTGTGAGAAGATATCGTCCACATGCCTACCAATCATGTGGAGTAACTCTGCTCCCACGTTTGATGCAGACATGCAGATAAAGCAAATTTGCAAAATTCATGAACATTATAAACTATGTCATTTTAAAATGTCTGCCCTGCACTAGCATCATTTAGATTAATGATAATGGGACTTGAGAATTGGAGTCTAAATTACACTGTAGTCGCTGTTCTTGATCTGTCTACGCCTGATCCTTTTCCACATCCAGGCTTTTGTCTGTTGGCTAAATTCTGTAAGACGAGGAAAACATAAAAGATAACGCTACTGAAAAGGTCTTGACAAAGTTAAATAACATCAGCTATATTTTTATCCTCACCTCTTTGTCAAGTTCCTCAATTTTTGATTTAATAAGGCGGGCAATTTTTCCAACTTCATCGACATCCTTTTCCATTCGTTTCTTGATTGCTTCAGATTATGCACAATTGATCATAATCAAGTTTTAAACAATGACAAGTCAATTTAAAAACAAATTGCAAGAATCCAAATACATGTATTTTCACCAAATCCAAGTATAATAACACAAATCCTCCACGAAGCCCATGTTTGATCCGCATTCTTTCAAAACTCATTTTTAACCACACATTCTTCAATAAAATAATATTTTCCATCACATCCAAAACTTTTCCTTATTTTTTAATCACATATTTTCCATCATATCACTATTTAAAATACGTTCTTCACTCAATAATGTACATCAAACACCCCCTAAAAATATATGCATTTCATAACCACCAAGAATAATGCAACCATGAGAATTGAAAAGAAGAAAAGTGATGATAACAAATCAAATCAGAAATTGGAAAAAGAACGTACAAATAAATGAAGTAGGATTCAAAAATTAACGAAAAGTAACATTGTTTCTGTATGTGACTTGGGTTGGTATTTAAATGCAAGATACAAACATCTTGTCACCTTAAGAATGTATAAAACATTTTTTACCTGTAAATGCCTATTTGGCAAGCTTGAAGCTTCATAGTATCATGGAAAACTAATTCCTGAAACACCTATTGAAGCATGCAATCAAGCGAAACAAATTACCTTTCATGGCAGCAGCCTTAGTTACGGCCTTGGATTCCTCATGAGCATCCTGCAAAGAACATTAGCGAAGGCACGACAAATTATATGTCATAGTGCAAAACTTTTTACATGTTTTGAACTTTTGAGTAACCTACAGTACGGCTGCGAAGTATAAGCTGACCTTCTGTATATTTAATTAACAAAACCATGTATAGCTATCAAAAAAGCAATTTCATGTGCATATATACAATCCTATGGACACTACAGGGCATATGGGGAAGTATCATGTATTTATGTCAGTTAATAAGTTGTTTATCTTTACTTATCAGAGAAACAGAATTGTAAAATTGCTTTCAGGGAATTGAGCAAGTCCCAACAGGTCCATCCAATAAACAGTCTTAGATTCCTCTGGTTTACTAGTGAATCTAATAAGAGATATCATAAAATAATTGGAATTAGAGGAAGCTTTAATGATGAGAACAAGAAAAAGAGTCATGAACAGAATGCCCAATTTAGAAGAAACACTAGGGTGGTGTAGCTAAAGTTAAGAGGTAAAAAAGTTCCCTACTTATTCAGCAGTCACAGCATTGATAAGAAAGTGAAACCAGAAAACTCAAATTACACTTTTATCACTATCGAGAAAAAGATTCATGCGCAGAATGCCCAATTTAGAGGAGAAACTACGGTGGTGTAGCTAAAGTTAAGAGGTAATAAAGTTCCCTACTTATTTTCACAAGAAAAAAAAGGATAGAAAGAGGAGAGTATTTATACCTGAAGCTTTTTGAGTAGCTTATCGAGTTTTTCAGAATGTTTTTCAATCTCTTGAACCTAACAGCATAAAGGAAAAGGCAAGTTGAAACTACGAAAAGGACAAAATAAAAAGTTACCCACTTGTTTTTGTAACTATATCGACAAAACTCAAGTTGAATGGGAAAACCAAGAAAACAACACAGCCAGAGATAACAATTTTCTTTCTGATGTATAATAGCCATCATATAAACTGGTATACAGCACCTGCTTAAAGAAATTATCCAAGCCTAAATCTCCAGAATTTTGTGCAATCTGTGTTCCCATTTCAATATCCCCATTCCTAGAAGCTTGATCCCGCGGTATCTCAAATGAATCCTGCAAATGTGCATAAAAATAAGGAAATAACTAAGACCTCCTACTTTCACAGTGTATTCCGTACCAACTAATATGCACGGAAAAAGCTTTTCAGCCTTTTTTCAGATAGTTGGATAATCTACAAAAGAATAACTTGGGCATACAAATACAATATATACACGAAATGATACGCAGACATGAATGAGGAACAAGGCATGTATTCAAACTTTGCCAAGTTCCAACATTCATCAAATAAAAAGCTAATGTCAGTACAAATAACAAAGATATTTCAATTTTCTTTTGTTCATGAAAATACTAAGCCTTAATCTTAATAAATTTGGAGTTGACTACATGAATCATTTTTGCCACTCCATCCAAGAGAATGTGAAATAACCAAATAGAATTCTTGAATAGATTTGATATAGTTGTCTTCGCAGAACAAATGGTTCTATGTTGATCATCTATTAATTTTCAACATTTTAAGATGGGAAGCTTATAACAGTCAGACCTGTCACAAGAAATTGTGATACTTTATGTGTTTAATAAAGAAGTAGGTTCTATGATATGATGTGTTCGCTTACACTTTAAGCTCAATTACCATTAAATATATCTGAAAATTGACTTATTAATTTTGTGCGGATGTGCTTTCAGAGGGAATCTTAGAAGAATGTTTATGCGTTCAGTCTTTTTCATTTGGATTTTGAAATTAAAGCATGACGAAGACCACGTAATCTCTTCATACCCTATTTGAGCCAAATTATTATAGAATGAGAATGAAAAATATAGCCGTTATTTGGGGCCCACACAAGAGATAGAAAATTCGAATTTAAATGTTGATGTAATGGATAACGGTCATATTTTTTATTTTAATGAGATAATAATGTAGATCAAACGGGGCTTAATCAGTCACCAAACATGATCTTTTGAATGCATATGTGGCATTTTCAAAATTTGAGGTTAAAATGAGGGCTAAAGTATTTTTGTTGGATAGAATAATACAATCAAAAATTTAGCACATAGAAGTCTGTTGCCTAAAATTTTAGTGCATTCCCGACTGACTAGCTCAACTCACGGGAGCCAAAATTATACATCAATATAAACTAGAAGGTAAATCTTAACAGAGAGAAACTAGAAGCCAAAATTACAGACAGAAGTTCAGCATCATTGAACTCGTATCAAACATCTTAAGCCGTTCATTACGTTGATTAAAAAGCCAATCTATATTTTCTACCAGCCCATTCAGTTAAAATCTCCACGAAAACTAAGTTTTTTAACTTCAATTGAACCGAAACATTGCACCTCTTCGTAGATCAAGCTCATTACTTCAAACATCAACTCATCCCAACCACTTTTGTTTATAGATACATATGTTTGTGTATCTAATTGCATTAACATATCAGAAACTTAATTATAAACAAAAGGGCCAAAAGTGTTTATAAATATCTGATGATCTTATGTCATTTTGTTGTAATAATAACAAAAAAAGAAAAAAATCGTCCAAGCACAACCATTTTTTCAGCTGCAAAAGCTTCGATCTCTTGTTACATTTTCATGAATAATTAAATAATCAACCACAAAATATCATTACTCAAATTAATTGATTGGGAAAAGCAAATTACCGTTAAAAGGTCGTTCATAGTGGAGCAATTGAAGAAGATAGAATTCGAAATCTGTTACTGATAGTTTCGATTTTCCGGGCTCTCTAGTCTTCCACTCTCTTTCTCTCTCTAAATTTCTGTGTTTATATGTTGGTGTTTCTGGGTTAGTGGAGAGAGAGAGAGAGAGAGGGTGTTTTTCCTGTGGGAAGAGAGAGAGAGGTCTTTTTCTATATTTCAAAACCTTCTTGTATTTATCTGTCAGTTCATAATCATCAAGGTTTAATTTTTTACTTTTTTACATTATTTTAGAGATAATTGCAGCAGCTATATCAAATACCCTCTTTCGTCATTTTTATTGTAAAAATATTAGTAAGGTAAAGTGACGAAAATACCCTTCATCAAAATAATTTAGTTTGCCCATTTTTGTAGCACAAAATCCTCAATCATCTTATACTGCTCCAAATATTTCAGTCCTCAATATCATAGATTCTCGAAAATCGCTCACATCTTCAATGAAAACGACTTATGCTAACCTACACCAAGCAGCACTATAGATCAAATTCTAAGTAGCTATAAGATGAACATTAAAAGACGATCCTACCCGAGGAAGCGAGTAGGATGAATCTTCGTAACGATTCTAGCTAACCGTTGATTCAATGTCCTCTTAATTGGACATTGATTTTTTTATTATTATTATTTTTAGGTCAAGTAACGACTCAATTGTCGTTTTTCGTCATTTTGTTCTTGTACTGCAATTATTTTAAAGATTTTGGATTGTAGTTGACATAAACGAAAAAGTTTGAATTAAGTCTGTGAAAAAAGGAAAATGTTAGGAACCGCTGCAATTAACCCATTTCTAAATGTCCAAAAATCTTTATTACTATTATATCACCATCAACATAGCTATAATCCTTAATTATAGAAAATTTAAAAATAAACAGGTAGGATGTGGGCCCAGCACAACTAAGATTGTAAAAGGTGGAAGGCGTGTCTGCCTCACCATATGAGTTGGGTGGCTGTCATGTTTATTAAAATACTCTACTACGTTTCCAGACTCGCATTAGTTGGGACATGTTTAATATGTTATATTGTCAAATTTTGTTTAGTATTATGCACCTAACGTATGTACACACTATAATTAAAATATTTAGTTTATGTTCTTTATAGATTTCCATTAATATTTTGAGAATTATTGAAGTCGAAATTCACACTCATCTAAGAATCAATCACGCGTTTTTTTTCTTATTTATAATTTAAATTGTTTATAAATAACTCTCAAACATGCAAGAATGTACTAAGCGTGTGTTTGGGTGCCATTTTGGTCCCAAGAATTCATTTTCCAATCACGTCAGTAGGGCCAGCATTGAATGCCACTGGTATTTGATTATTGATAGTTATGTTTGATTTTCAATTGTACTTCCACTTTTTGTTGGATGTGTGCAAATTTAGTTTTGGAGAGAAATGCAAAATTGGTAAAGCGAAATCAAAACCCATTAATGGTACAGTTACATGTCACTTTTGTGTAAGATGAAATGGTCTAAGTATGAAGCATACCCTTTGAGTTACATGAACGCCACCCGAACTCCCTATCTCACCTTAGTTGGCTTTTGTAAGTTCTAAGGTGAGTCCATAACCAATTTGATATGAGGGATCATAATATTTGTCCCCAACGTTCTTTGGAAGCACATCAAACAATCTTGAACCATGTACGAGCGTCAGACTATTGGAGGAATTAAACTTGATGTTGTGATCCAATCGTACCAATTCAAGATTAATTTTAATGTGGTAGGTATCGACTTTTACTCCATTCAGCAACACATTGTCCTTCTATACTTGGAAGCCAAGCAGTCACAAGTTCATCAATTTTATCAACATATGGTTGAATCACGACTCGACATCCAGTAAGGAGAATGACGACACATTTTCACAGAGGCATGGACATTTGTAATGATTGTGGGGCGGGATCGTTAAAGTTTAAGTTCAAGATATCTCATGACCACTCTATGTATGGAGGTTTACTATACCATGACAATGGCGTAGGAGAAGTTGGATTTAAGGTATTCATTATTGGGATTTTCATTGAATACAGACTTTTGTTTTGGGGCCATCTCATTGTACAGCCACCACACTGGTTACCGAGATTTGCTTTCATGGCTTCCTGTCATGACGAGGATCTTTGATGCCTTGTTAGGGAGTCGTATCGATGGCTTGTCTAAAAATTCATCATTCTTAAGCAATTTAGAAACTGCATATCTCGAAGGAGTCGGGTTCTTTCAGTTAGAGAGAAATAATGGAGATTCTCTTAGAGTGTATTTGATCGACAGGGAAAATATATTCTAAAAAAGAAAATATTTTTCTTATTTTGAGAAAAACAAAAACCTGCTCCCCCCAAAACTTAAAAATAAGGAAAATCAGGCATATTTTTAAAAGTTGGAAAATATTTTCCATTGAAAAAAATAGCAATCAAACACTTCAAAGTAAGAATTTGGATGAAAAAATGACATTTTCATGGAAAATAAATGCAATCAAACACATATTTAGATATATTATACGAGGACTTTCTCAGTTTAAAATTTTATTTTAGCAAAAATATTTAGGGTTTTATTTTATAGGACTAGTATTTTTTTATTTGTCTTCTTATTTAAATTAGGTTACTCAAAATTTGAAATCATTTGTAGAGAGTTAAAGCATTGTAATAATTATACTTGTTTATTGAATAAACCGATGTTTCATTTCATTAAATTTCTTCTCTCTTATCTCCGTTCTTTCTCGTCGCTCTCTATTCAATCTACTTTCTTCTATTTCTCTCATCCTTCCTCTTCTCTTCTCGTCTACCCCCTTTTCCTTTCTATTATTGTGATTCTTAGTTCATTATATCTTACATCGCTTAAATAATAAAACTATATATCTTTGCAACTTACCTCACAACCCAAAATCCGTAACAAAAGATGCTTTTACATTTTTGCTTATATACCAAAAATTGTTTTTAATTGATAACTTAGGGTAGTAAACATAAAGAATAAAAAAAAATAAACTCATATTTATATAACTATAAATTATTATACAATACTGTACATTTCTGGACTAATTGCAGCTATAATACTCAAGTTTTAATCGATGACATTTTAGTGCTTATCGTTTTCCCTTTCATGCACTCGAGTTCAATTATTAATTTATGTGCATTTTTTTACGAAATTTATACCATTTAATGCCTAAAATAAAAACATTATAACTTATGATACAACTAACATCACTTAGTAAATTGAAGAATATATATCTATTTCATTTATTTTTTCATAAACTTAAAGAAAATTTCAAAATTTTACAGAGGGGTTACAACCCTGGCCCATATGGCCCACAGCTGGAACTCGAGCGACCAAAAATCTGACTATTGCGTAGCGTAAAATGGGACTAGGCCGACCCAAGAAGCCTAAGCAAATATAGAATAGATGCCAATAAGCTACTCAATCTAATTGGATCCGATCGGACCATGTACCTAACCCGAAAGGTTGAGTACAACTAACCACAAGGGGTTGAACATCGGGGACTAGGTCAATGATGTCAAATAGCCAAGTCGGCCAACCCCATCTAGCAGCCAATGTAGACCATCAAAGACTAACACTGCAGTGCCTCTAAGAGTACCAGATCATAGAAATTAAAGGCATATAATCATGTCAAATATTACTTCAAAAGAATATCAAATGTTGATGATAAGACGAACTTTACAACATTAGATATCCTAAAATCTTTCGTACACACTAAGCAAGAGGGCGCACAAGATTATTTGTGTACCAAACATGCACAAGGAAATAATCGAAGGAATTGGGGGATGATCCACAAGCCACGAGATAATCTGCAGAAAATTCTTCATTCATCATCAGCAAATGAACAACTTGAAGATAAGAGAAGTATTTACCTGTAATTTCTTGCTGAATTGATCTGATTATAAGCAGATTAATTAGTATTATGCACCTAACGTATGTACACACTATAATTAAAATATTTAGTTTATGTTCTTTATAGATTTCCATTAATATTTTGAGAATTATTGAAGTCGAAATTCACACTCATCTAAGAATCAATCACGCATTTTTTTTTCTTATTTATAATTTAAATCGTTTATAAATAACTCTCAAACATGCAAAAATGTATTAAGCGTGTGTTTGGGTGCCATTTTGGTCCAAAGAATTCATTTTCCAATCACGTCGTAGGGCCAGCATTGAATGCCACAGGTATTTGATTATTGATAGTTATGTTTGATTTTCAATTGTACTTCCACTTTTTGTTGGATGTGTGCAAATTTAGTTTTGGAGAGAAATGCAAAATTGGTAAAGCGAAATCAAAACCCATTAATGGAATAGTTACACGTCACTTTTGTGTCGATGAAATGGATAAAGAAAATGTTACTTTACAAACAAACGGTCAAATTTCTTCATTAAAAAAAAAAAAAATTTGGTTTCAAACAAGGGCTAACTATGAAAAAAAGTAAGTTAAAATCTCGTTTAACATGTCTTGATTGTCTAATACTAAGTACGAAGCATACCATTTGAGTTACATGAACGCCACCCGAACTCCCTATCTCACCTTAGTTGGCTTTTGTAAGTTCTATGGTGAGTCCATGACCAATTTGATATGACGGATCATAATATTTGTCCCAACGTTCTTTGGAAGCATATCAACAATCTTGAACCATGTACGAGCGCCACACTATTGGAGTAATTAAACTTGAAGTTGTGATCCTATCGCACCAATTCAAGATTAAACTTGACTTTTACTCCATTCAGCAACTCATTGTCCTTCTGTACTTGGAAGCCAAGCAGTCACAAGTTCATCAATTTTATCAACATATGGTTGAATCACGACTCGACGTCCGGTAAGGAGAATGACGACACATTTTCACAGAGGCATGGACATTTGTAATGATCGTGGGGCGGGATCGGTAAAGTTAAGTTCAAGATATCTCATGGCCACTCTATGTATGGAGGTTTACTATACCATGACAATGGCGTAGGAGAAGTTGGATTTAAGGTATTCATTAT